CGGCCTTGTCTGAGCATGTTGGCCGCGGCGCGCACCACTACAGACTTTCCGCTACCACCCGGCCCGTGCATGAGCATGTGAAGGCGGTCACTGTTGTTGGTGTCCTTGGTATTGGGCCGCCTGAGGACGTAGTCGACGATGTAGTCCATGGCTGCCTTCTGATGTTTCGTTTCGGGGCTTGGGTTCTGTGTCGTCAGCATTTCGAAGGCTTCCTCTCCGCCTTCTACCGGTGCGAAGGCATCGCCGGCAGCCCCTGTTGGCACGTGATCTGGCGGCAGGAAGTCGATCTCGCCACCATACCGCTCTTTCAATGCCTCCATAATCTTCAAAGAGTCTTCGTAATTTTCCTGGGCGATCTTGCTGTTGGCCCATCCATCCCATGCATCGTCGGGACGCATCTTCGCCTTCATGTACATGACCGCCTGGACGGCTTGCAGCTTCCGGGCTGCATGTACAGTCCCATCCATTTCGGGGAAACACTTGGACCGGAGGAAGTCTGGTTGGCCAGTCGTGTCCCGAGCAACTCGTCGAAAGGCTGCTGCGTGGCTTCCGTTGTCCCCCTCTTGCAGCCAGTCTCCTGGCTCTACCCAGACCAAGTACAGCAACAATTTGGAGTAGTAGAAAGCTTCCGGTTCGAGGTCAGGACTGAAGTTCCGGTAGGCGACGATCGCAGGTCGCCTTCGTCGCTGCGGCTCCCCACCGATGAACTTGAAGGCTGCGCAGAAATCCAGAAAGTTCACCTCCGAGAAAAGACAGCTCTTGAACTTGCCACCCTCCACCGGAATCTCGACTGTCTCTTCCCCGAACCTGCGTTGCATCTCCCGGTACCGCTTCTGGGCCACGGGCATGGAGTCCTCGAGGTCCAGTTTCTTGCTGCGGTATTTGCCTGGTCCCTTCAGGGCCATGCTCTCCTCGCTCTTCGGTACTGACAAGGTCCAAGTTTCTGGTGGGCCTACCTGGATCCACTCGTTGTCCCTAGAGAAGTCGACGACGGGGAAGCCCAGCAGCAGGTGGCAGGCTTCGAACGTCGATGTGGTTCTGCCCTGCAGCGCGGCGTGCGCGGCTTTGTAGACCTGCTGTTTGCCGAGGCCGGCACCGTTGTTGCTGTTGCTGGAGGTGAGGCTCGCGACGATATTCTCCACACGCTGTTGTGCCTGCTTGTCCTGCTCCGATTTCATGGCATAGCCGAGGATGTAGCGGCTCGCGCTGGTGAGCTCGCAGATGACCTGGAGGTCCATGCTAGCCCGCCACCGTCGAAGGATCTTGATGTTGTACTGCCCCATCATGCTGTCCGACTGAACCCGCCTCGTCGCCAAGCTGCTTTTCCAGCGACTGTTGGCATACCTCTCCTGGGAGGTACGGCGCCTGGTCCGCGTTTCTGCGGTGTGCGGGAAGCCGTAGCGGCAGGCGCCGTGCGACTTGATTCCACAGTACTCGGAGTGGTGGTGCACTAACAGCTCGGCCAACTTGGCGTTCACTTCGATGTCTCGGGACGAGAGTTTCTTGGATTGCCTCCACGTGAAAGGGGATTTGGTGCAAATATACTTATCGCTCCAGTCTTCCGCACAGCTGGGAGTGAAGGACTGCATGACCTCATCATCCGACCAGTCGGGAGCTTGCGGCTCGTCACCGGATCTGTCCTCGGAAGACATCTTTGCTGCCCGAGTTGGCTTCTCAAGTTCCATCACCCAGAGTAGGATGTGAGCGTGTGGATAGCCTCTCTTCTGCCACTCAATGCGGATGATGTAGTCGAGCACCCTGAATGGTGGCGCTCCCTTGAAGACTTTTCGGTGTTGGCCTGCAGAGTCCATGGTCGGCGCCTGGAGAAAGTCGTCCTCGTCTTCGGCCGCAGGATCGTCCTCGGCATCCACATCATGGTCGAGGTGCGTCGTTGTTGCTTCGTGCTTGGCGGACAGCCAGTGCATGAGCTGGGTTACTTGGTGCATGAATTGACGAGCCACAACGGCGGGATGCTGATTGCACAGCTGGTTCGGGGACAGACCGTCCCAGGTGAACTTCTCGTCGGCTTGGTAGCACTGCAGGATTTGAGCGGCTTCTCTCTCGATCTCTTCTGGCGGTTTCGCAGGACGCAGCCGGAGCAGCCGCGCCATGATGACGGCGATCAGGATGTCGGGCTGTCGGGCATGGCACGAAAGAGTCATGAAGAAGTTGGGCACTCCGAGCTGCTCATACATGTTGACCGCGACGCCCTTCTTTGCGAAGACGTACGAGCTGGTTCCAGGGATGTCCCGGAGAGCTGCGAACACTCGCCCTTTCCCGTCCTGGTACTTGGTCTTCCCGCTGGGGCCCTCCTGGCATATCCTGACATTCACGTTGCCCGAGAGACGCTTCTTGATATGCATCTCCAGAAGCCACATGATGTAGCCGGCGGACGCCTCGAAGCGTGGGTCGAGATTCAGGAGACGCTTTCCCGCATATTGAGAGAAGCTGCCGTACTGGTCCTGCCACCCGCCCTCGCCGGTGGGAAACAGGTGCGGAAAGAACTTCACGTCCATGTCGTCGCTCATCGCTGATATGCCCCTGGCCTTTCGTAGCTCTTGTATTTCGGCTCGGGGAGCTTTTAGATCTTTGGGAAGCATGTATGTCACCTCGAGCTCTTCCGATTCTGTTTCGGCCGGTGCCACAGGCGCTGCTGCTGCAGCGTCGCCGTTGGCAGTGGGCGCTTTGCCATTGAGAATTCCGGCCATTTTGTCCAGAGCTTTGTCCACAGCCGGGCTCGCCTGGTACAGGCGGTGCTGGGATTTCAGCTGCCGCAAGGCTTGGTACAGGTGGTCGAGGCGCGCCGGCGAAGCGGTTCCCTTGGACCCCCTCCACCAGGACCGTGCCATCTTCTTCGAGTGTTGCGCCATCCAGCACGTCGCAAATGAAAGGCTCGTCGACCAACATTGCGTACATGCGGCCCCACTGCGCACTTGGTCCGCCGGAAGGAAGCTTGTCAAGCAAGACTTGAGAGATTCGCGCCATGGCGAGCAGGTGATGCTCGATCGGCTGCAGGCTCCGGAGCGCTTCCGGGATGGGTGGTGGAGTGGGCAAGAAGATCTTGGTGACATTCTCCCGACAATTCCTGCAGAGCATGTTGCCCGTTTGCTTCGCCGGCCTGCAATGCTTCGCGGTTGTGAGAGTGTGACATGCTTCACACACCCTGGACAATCCGAATCGACTCCAGCTTCGCGTAAAAGCCAAGTAGTGGGCTTGCGCTTGCTCCGAGGTCAGCACATCTTCATCCGGGAACGGGTAGCCCCGCTGTTGGGCCTCTGTAGCGATCGGCGGAGGACCACGGCTGCCAAGTCCTTCTTCTGCACGGCCAGCTTGAAGTTGTTGCCTCTGGGCCCGAGTGCTGTCCTCCGTAGGCCAAGGGCCGCGGCTACCAAGTCCTTCTTCTGCGCGTTCAGCTTGAAGTTGTTGTCCCCGCGCCCGCCTGCTCTTCTCCGTGGGCAAAGGCCCACGGCTGCCGAGTCCTTCTTCTGCTCGTTCAGCTTGAAGTTGTTGCCTCTGGCCCCGGCTGCTCTCCTCTGTGGGCAAAGGCCCACGGCTGCCGAGTCCTTCTTCTGCTCGTTCAGCTTGAAGTTGTTGCCTCTGGCCCCGGCTGCTCTCCTCTGTGGGCAAAGGCCCGCGGCTGCCAAATCCTTCTCTTGCACGTGCAGCTTGAAGTTGTTGCCTCTGGCCCCGAGAGGTGGGCAAAGGCCCGCGGCTGCCAAGTCCTTCTTCTGCACGGTCAGCTTGAAGTTGCTGCCTCTGGGCCCGTGTGCTGTTTCCTACAGGCACAGGTCCGCGGCTGCCCGCTCCTTGCGCTGCACGTTGCTGCTGTCGAGCACTCTTGTCCTCGCTCTTGCGGCGGAGGTTCTCCTGTTTCTGAGCTTCGCGGCACTGTCGATTGCTGCACCATCCTTTTCCTCGGCCTTGCATTGGCCAGCCACACCGTGAGCAAGGCGCCATCGTAACGAATTGAGATAATGCGGTCCCTAGGCTGGGCTAAGGCTGTATCCTCACGGGCTGCGATCGAATCTCAAGCATGTTCCATCAGTAAGCACATCAAACGAAGAACAGCACAAAATCTCTGCACGAACAGGTGATTCCAGACTGGATCACCGTCTGTTGAGTCCACAAGCCGTGTCATTGACCGATGCAGGACGCAGATGCAACGACAGCTCAAACCGGCCATGTCCAGACTGCCGTGTCCCTTGCTGCAGTGCTCGCCCCGTTTTGCGTTTGCTGCTGCTCGCGTTTGGAGCTCTAGCGGTCTGTGGCATGCTTTGACATGTAGACAACTTGCACGTCCACGACCTCGTCGTGGAAGCTGCGGTCCAGGACTTCGCGCCAGCTCCAAGCGTCGCTGATCACGTCTCCGTCCAAAACCAGTTGCGTGCCTTCGATGGGAATGGGTCCTGCAGGACTGCTGTCCAAGTCCAAAAGCAAGACCTCTCTGGTGCTGCGATGCTGCAGCGTGTCCGGCGGGATGGGCTTGTTGGTCTCCCGAACTCTGACACGTAGTTCTTGCAGGGATAGGCAGCGATCGGGGTTGTTGCCCTCGTGCAGCTGGGCGAGCCAAGCTTCCCGAAAAGATCCGGGAGGTTCGAGTTGGCAGAGCAGGCTATAAGGCTTCGAGGAATGGATCTCGGCACCCTGCATGTTCAGGTACCTCACCGTCAGGTTGGCAAGACGCTCGTTGAACTCCCTCTGCATCTCCATCTCTTTGTTCCATCTTGTTCCTTCACGTGCATCTTCCTCGGCGTCGTGCTGCATTTCTGTGTCGACCCAGTCCCAACAATCGAACGGGTCCTCGCAGTCCTCCAGTTCGGAGCCCCGAATCGAGCGGTCTGAGCTTCTGGAACCCTCGCCCATGTCCTCGGACATCTCTGTTGCGCCGGTCGATCTCAGAAACAAGGGCCGTGGGCATGATCTTAGGCACTCGCTGTGACGACTGAGACTCCAGCCCGTGAGCGGCTACCTATAGGCCGAAGCTCGGACACAGAGCAGGACTACGACTCTTCACATTGAGCCCACGTGAGCGGAACTAGCTCGGCTTCTCACGCATAGCGAGCACTTGCACACAGTGTGCACTCGGTTGCAGAATAGACTTAATGGGGGAGTGTCATTAGAGCATGAGCAGGCACCTGGTACCCCATATTGGTTGAGGATAAGCCAGCCACTTCTGCATGCGAGCCCTCCGGCCTCGTCCCGTCTCTGTCTTTCTTCAGGTTGAAGATAAGCACCTGGTGCCCCATATTGGTTGAGGATAAGCGCACCACCTCTCAATGCGAGCCCTCCGGCCTTGTCCCTTGCCTTCGTCTTTTTTCAGGTTGGATATAAGCACCTGGGAGACCATATTGGTTGAGGATAAGCAACCACTTCTGCGTGCGCCTCCGTCTTCTTCAGGTTGAGACCACGCACCTGGGACCCCATAATGGTTGAGGATAACGCACCTGGGACCCCATATTGGTTGAGGATAAGCGCTTCGGCCTTGTCCCCGCCTCTGTCTTCTTCAGGTTGAGACCACGACCCTGGCACCCTGTATTGGTTGAGGATAAGCGCTCCGGCCGTGTCCCTGCCTCCATCTTCTCAGGTTGACACCACGCACCGGGGACCCCATATTGGCTGAGGATGACACACATGCGACCCCATGTTGGTTGAGGATATGCGCTCCGGCCTTGTCTCCGCCTCTGTCTTCTTCAGGTTGAGACCATGCACCTGGAACCCCATATTGGTTGAGGTTAACACGCATGCGACCCCATGTTGGTTGAGGATATGCGCTCCGGCCTTGTCTCCGCCTCTGTCTTCTTCAGATTGGGACCATGCACCTGGGACCCCATATTGGTTGAGGATAGGCCCGGATAGGCGCTCCGGTTCAGGCTAAACCTGACCCATATGGGTTGAGGATAAGCCCTCTGTGGCCTCGTCTCCGCCTCCGTCCTCTTCGGACTGGGACCACGGGCCTCGAACCCCACACTGGTTGAGGATAAGCCCTCTGGCCTCGTCCGCGCCTCCGTCCTTATCAGGCTGGGACCGCGGACCTCGAACCCCAAAATGGTGGAAGGTAATCCCTCCGACCTCGTCCCTGCCTCTGTCCTCTTCAGGCTGGGACCGCGGACCTCGAACCCCATATTGCTTGAGGATAAGCCCTGTTGCCGTCTCCGCCTCCGTCCCCCTCAGGTGGGGACCGCGGACCTCGCACCTCCGGCCTTGTCCCGGACCCCGTCCTCTGCAGGTTGAGACCACGCACCTGGGAAGGTTGACACCACGCACCGGGGACCCCATGTTGGTTGAGGATAACGCACCTGGGAACCCAGATTGGTTGAGGATAAGCGCTCCGGCCTTGTCCCCGCCTCCGTGTTCTTCGGGCTGAGACCACGCACCTGGAACCCCATATTGGTTGAGGGTAAGCGCTCCGGCCTTGTCCCCGCTCCGTCTTCTTCACAGGTTGACACCACGCATATTGGTTGAGGATATAACGCACCTGGGACCGCATATTGGTTGAGGGTAAGCGCTCCGGCCTTGTCCCCGCCTCCGTCTTCTTCACAGGTTGACACCACGCATATTGGTTGAGGATATAACGCACCTGGGACCGCATATTGGTTGAGGATAAGCGTCCCGGCCTTGTCCCTGCCTCCGTCTTCTTCAGGTTGACACCACGCACCGGCCTGTCCCCGCCTCCGTCTTCTTCAGGTTGAGACCTGCACTTTGGTTGACCTCCGGCCTTGTCCCTGGCTCTGTCTTCTTCAAGTTGACACCACGAACTGGGGACCCCATAATGCTTGAGGATAACGCACCTGGGACCCCATATTGGTTGAGGATAAGCGCTCCGGCCTTGTCCCCGCCTCTGTCTTCTTGAGGTTGAGACCACGCCCCTGGGACCCCATATTGGTTGAGGATAAGCGCTCCGGCCTTGTCCCTGCCTCCGTCTTCTCAGGTTGACACCACGCACCGGGAACCCCATATTGGCTGAGGATAACACACATGCGACCCCATGTTGGTTGAGGATATGCGCTCCGGCCTTGTCCCCGCCTCTGTCTTCTTCAGGTTGAGACCATGCACCTGGGACCCCATATTGGTTGAGGATAGGCGCTCCGGGCTTGTCCCAGCCTCCGTCTTCTTCAAGTTGACACCACGCACCGGGGACCCAGATTGGTTGAGGATAACGCACCTGGGACCCCATATTGGTTGAGGATGCTCGCCCTGGCCTGGTCCCCGCCTCCATCCTTTTCGAGTTGAGACCACGCACCTGGGACATATTAGTTGAGAATATAAGCACTCCGGCCTGGTCCCCGCCTCCATCCTTTTCGAGTTGAGACCACGCACCTAGGACCCCATATTAGTTGAGGATAAGCCGATCTTCTTGGAGTGGAGACCACGCACCTCTGGTTGAGGATAAGCGTGGCGGCTGCGCCTCTTCCCCCTGGCCCCATTCTGGTTGAGGATAAGCGTGGCGGCTGCACCTCTTCGCCTGGCACCGGATAAGTGGCGGCTGCGCCTCTTCCCCCTGGCCCCCATTCTGGTTGAGGATAAGCGTGGCGGCTGCACCGGATAAGCGTGGCGGCTGTACCCCCTGGCCCCTATTCTGGTTGAGGATAAGCGTGGCGGCTGCGCCTCTTCCCCCTGGCCCCCATTCTGGTTGAGGATAAGCGGCGGCTGCACCTCGCCCCCATTCTGGTTGAGGATAAGCGTGGCGGCTGCACCTCTTCGCCTGGCACCGGATAAGCGTGGCGGCTGTACCCCCTGGCCCCTATTCTGGTTGAGGATAAGCGTGGCGGCGCCTCTTCCCCCTGGCCCCCATTCTGGTTGAGGATAAGCGTGGCGGCTGCACCTCTTCGCCTGGCACCGGATAAGCGTGGCGGCTGTACCCCCTGGCCCATTCTGGTTGAGGATAAGCGTGGCGGCTGCGCCTCTTCCGCCTCTGGCCCCCATTCTGGTTGAGGATAAGCGTGGCGGCTGCACCTCTTCGCCTGGCACCGAATAAGCGTGGCGGCTGTACCCCCTGGCCCCTATTCTGGTTGAGGATAAGCATTCGGCTGCGCCTGGCGGCTGGCCCCCTCTTTGAGGATAAGCGCCTGCGCACCGGATAAGCGTGGCGGCTGTACCCCCTGGCCCCTATATTCTGGTTGAGGATAAGCGTGGCGGCTGCGCCTCTTCCCCCTGGCCCCCATTCTGGTTGAGGATAAGCGTAGGGCACCGGATAAGCGTGGCGGCTGTACCCCCTGGCCCCTATTCTGGTTGAGGATAAGCGTGGCGGCTGCGCCTCTTCCCCCTGGCCCCATTCTGGTTGAGGATAAGCGTGGCGGCTGCACCTCTTCGCCTGGCACCAGATAAGTGTGGCGGCTGTACCCCCTTGCCCCTATTCTGGTTGAGGATAAGCGTGGCGGCTGCGCCTCTTCCCCCTGGCCCCCATTCTGGTTGAGGATAAGCGTAGCGGCTGGACCTCTTCGCCTGGCACCGGATAAGCGTGGCGGTTGTCCTCCCTGGCCCCTATTCTGGTTGAGGATAAGCGTGGCGGCTGCGCCTCTTCCCCCTGGCCCCCATTCTCGTTGAGGATAAGCGTGGCAGCTGCACCTCTTCGCCTGGCGCCGGATAAGCGTGGCGGCTGTACCCCCTGGCCCCTATTCTGGTTGAGGATAAGCGTGGCGGCTCTTCCCCCTGGCCCCCATTCTGGTTGAGGATAAGCGTGGCGGCTGCACCTCTTCGCCTGGCACTGGATAAGCGTGGCGGCTGTACCCCCTGGCCCCTATTCTGGGTGAGGATAAGCGTGTCTCTTCCGCCTGGCCCCCATTCTGGTTGAGGATAAGCGTGGCGGCTGCACCTCCTCGCCTGGCACCGGATAAGCGCGGCGGCTGTACCCCCTGGCCCCTATTCTAGTTGAGGATAAGCGTGGCGGCTGCGCCTCTTCCCCCTGGCCCCCATTCTGGTTGAGGATAAGCGTGGCGGCTGCACCCCCTGGCCCCTATTCTGGTTGAGGATAAGCGTGGCGGCTGCGCCTCTTCCCCCTGGCCCCCATTCTGGTTGAGGATAATAAGCGTGGCGGCTGCACCTCTTCGCCTGGCACCGGATAAGCGTGGCGGCTGTACCCCCTGGCCCCCATTCTGGTTGAGGATAAGCGTGGCGGCTGCGCCTCTCCCCCCTGGCCCCCATTCTGGTTGAGGATAAGCGTGCACCTCTTCGCCTGGCACCGGATAAGCGTGGCGGCTGTACCCCCTGGCCCCTATTCTGGTTGAGGATAAGCGTGGCGGCTGCGCCTCTTCCCCCTGGCCCCCATTCTTGTTGTAAGCGTGGCGGCTGCAGCCTTAAGCGTGGCGGCTGCACCACAACCGGATAAGCGTGGCGGCTGTACCCCCCTGGCCCCTATTCTGGTTGAGGATAAGCGTGGCGGCTGCGCCTTCCCCCTGGCCCCCATTCTGGTTGAGGATAAGCGTGGCGGCTGCACCTCTTCGCCTGGCACCGGATAAGCGTGGCGGCTGCACCCCCTGGCCCCTATTCTGGTTGAGGATAAGCGTGGCGGCTGCGCCTCTTCCTCCTGGCCCCCATTCTTCTGGTTGAGGATAAGCGTGGCGGCTGCACCTCTTCGCCTGGCACCGGATAAGCGTGGCGGCTGTACCCCCTGGCCCTATTCTGGTTGAGGATAAGCGTGGCGGCTGCGCCTCTTCCGACTCTGGCCCCCATTCTGGTTGAGGATAAGCGTGGCGGCTGCACCTCTTCGCCTGGCACCGAATAAGCGTGGCGGCTGTACCCCCTGGCCCCTATTCTGGCTGAGGATAAGCATTCTGGTTGAGGATAAGCGTGGCGGCTGCACCTCTTCGCCTGGCACCGGATAAGCGTGGCGGCTGTACCCCCTGGCCCCTTTTCTGGTTGAGGACAAGCGTGGCGGCTGCGCCTCTTCCCCCTTGGCCCCCATTCTGGTTGAGGATAAGCGTGGCGGCTGCACCGCACCGGATAAGCGTGCCGGCTGCACCCCTGGCCCCTATATTCTGGTTGAGGATAAGCGTGGCGGCTGCGCCTCTTCCCCCTGGCCCCCATTCTGGTTGAGGATAAGCGTAGCGACTGCACCTCTTCGCCTGGCACCGGATAAGCGTGGCGGCTGTACCCCCTGGCCCCTCTTCTGGTTGAGGATAAGCGTGGCGGCTGCGCCTCTTCCCCCTGGCCCCATTCTGGTTGAGGATAAGCGTGGCGGCTGCACCTCTTCGGGTGGCACCAGATAAGTGTGGCGGCTGTACCCCCTTGCCCCTAGTCTGGTTGAGGATAAGCGTGGCGGCTGCGCCTCTTCCCCCTGGCCCCCATTCTGGTTGAGGATAAGCGTGGCGGCTGGACCTCTTCGCCTGGCACCGGATAAGCGTGGCGGTTGTCCTCCCTGGCCCCTATTCTGGTTGAGGATAAGCGTGGCGGCTGCGCCTCTTCCGCCTCTGGCCCCCATTCTGGTTGAGGATAAGCGTGGCGGCTGCACCTCTTCGCCTGGCACCGAATAAGCGTGGCGGCTGTACCCCCTGGCCCCTATTCTGGTTGAGGATAAGCGTGGCGGCTCTTCCCCCTGGCCCCCATTCTGGTTGAGGATAAGCGTGGCGGCTGCACCTCTTCGCCTGGCACCGGACAAGCGTGGCGGCTGTACCCCCTGGCCCCCATTCTGGTTGAGGATAAGCGTGGCGGCTGCGCCTCTTCCCCCTGCCCCCATTCTGGTTGAGGATAAGCGTGGCGGCTGCACCTCTTCGCCTGGCACCGGATAAGCGGGGCGGCTGTAACCCCTGGCCCCTATTCTGGTTGAGGATAAGCGTGGCGGCTGCGCCGCTTCCCCCTGGCCCCCATTCTGATTGAGGATAAGCGTGGCGGCTGCACCTCTTCGCCTGGCACCGGATAAGCGTGGCGGCTGTACCCCCTGGCCCCTATTCTGGTTGAGGATAAGCGTGGCGGCTGCGCCTCTTCCCCCTGGCCCCCATTCTGGTTGAGGATAAGCGTGGCGGCTGCACCTCTTCGCCTGGCACCGGATAAGCGTGGCGGCTGTACCCCCTGGCCCCTATTCTGGTTGAGGATAAGCGTGGCGGCTGCGCCTCTTCCCCCTGGCCCCCATTCTGGTTGAGGATAAGCGTGGCGGCTGCACCTCTTCGCCTGGCACCGGATAAGCGTGGCGGCTGTACCCCCTGGCCCCTATTCTGGATAAGCGTGGCGGCTGCGCCTCTTCCCCCTGGCCCCCATTCTGGTCCCCGCCTGCCCCCATTCTGGTTGAGGATAAGCGTGGCGGCTGCACCTCTTCGCCTGGCACCGGATAAGCGTGGCGGCTGCACCCCCTGGCCCCTATTCTGGTTGAGGATAAGCGTGGCGGCTGCGCCTCTTCCCCCTGACCCCCATTCTGCATGGTTGAGGATAAGCGTGGCGGCTGCACCTCTTCGCCTGGCACCGGATAAGCGTGGCGGCTGTACCCCCTGGCCCCTATCCTCTTCCCCCTGCCCCCATTCTGGTTGAGGATAAGCGTGGCGGCTGCACCTCTTCGCCTGGCACCGGATAAGCGTGGCGGCTGTACCTCCTGGCCCCTATTCTGGTTGAGGATAAGCGTGGCGGCTTCGCCTCTTCCCTGGCACCGGATAAGCGTGGCGGCTGTGCCTTTCAGTATCTGTCAGGTTGAGGATGGGGATCTGAGAAAATGAACACTGAGATGCAGGCTGGGGTGGGTGGGGTGGGGGGGGTGATGGGAGGGGGGTGGGGGAGGGGGTTGGGGGAGGGGGTTGGGGGGATGGGGGGAGGAGGGTGGGTGGCCTGATTTGGTTGAGGATAAGGTTTTTGGTGTTTGGCAGGCAGGGGGAGGGGGGAGGGCAGGGGGGGCAGGGGGTGGGGGGCAGTGGGGGGCGGGGGTGGGGGTGGGGGGGGGGGCAGGGCTGTGGGAGCGGGGGAAAACCAAGGCCATCCGGTTTTGTTTGGGTCGGGAATAAGGGGGCCAGGGCGGGGTGGGGCAGGGGAGGCATGGGGGGAGGGGGAGGGCGGCCGGTTCAAGGTCGAGACCAAGGTTAAACTCAGGTGGGGGGGGGGGAGGGAAGGTGGGGGGGGGTCCTCTCCACAAGCCCCAAGCCCTGCCCTGCGCTGCCCTGCCCTGCCCTGCTTAACTCAGGTGGGGGGGGGGAGGGAAGGTGGGGGGGGTCCTCTCCACAAGCCCTGCCCTGCGCTGCCCTGCCCTGCCCTGCTTTGCCGTTTTTCAAAGTAGGAGCTGCGCTGTCACGGTATACAATTTCTATTTATCACTTTCTTGAGGGTTTAGGGTTTACGGTTTAGGGTTTAGGGTTTAGGGTTTAGGGTCTACATCCTTCGGTCGAGGTCCTCTGCCGTGGAACAAAAGCCTCAGCCCACGAAGACAAGCCTACACAATCCTGTTTTGGAATGAAGACTCTAGGATGTAGGTTTCAGAACCTGGCTGAAGCCCTCAACCCTAAACCCTAAACCCAAAAGTGGTGTTTGCAATAAAATGTTTGTGGCTGGCGGCTTGAGGTCAGGTCATACATTCAGTGTTCCAGTGGGGTCCGCGGTTTTTAGCTGAAGCCCCTCAACCCTGAAGGCCATGGAGAACCAAGACTTCCGAAAACTTCAACCTCACAAAGCTGTAAGCCCCGAAATTAAGCCCTACAGCCACACAAGAATTTCTAAAACATGGTACTCGATAAGTAAGTTCCATAGGGGGTGACGTTCTGTTGCGAGTTTCCGAAACCCTAAACCCCTAAACTCTCAACCTCACTTCAAAAGCCACCCTGTACCACCAGCCGCTTGCTGAGGGAAGAGCTGACGACGATGTTCAAGCAAACCTCCGCTTAAAGTCTGCTCGCTTACTCTGGGGGGGATGTACGGGTTTATGGTTTGGGGTTGGGCCCTGGGTTTTGGAGTTTGGTGGTTTACGGGTCTAGGGGTTTAGAGTTTGGGGTTTAGGGTTTAGGGTTTGGGAGTTTAGGGGTTAAGGGACTGAAGCGTTCGGGTCCAGCATTCTAGGGTTTACCTCTTCTTTTCTGCGCCATAGCCCGCGGAGTTCTGCTTCCATGACAAAAAAAGCCTCAAGTAAAAGCCACAACTTCTATCATATGATGAGCCCTTCCAATAAGGATCCCTCCACCGCACCTGCAAAATGCGATAGGCCGCTTATGAAAGTCTCGCAACACTCTTTTGAAACCCTTTGGATATATAAAACCCCCCTTTGAGACACCTTTACAGTGCAATAGACCCTAAACCCTAAACCCTGAACCCTAAAAAGCTCGCATCAAAAATGTCCAGCCCCTATATCCTAAACCCTTAACCCTGAACATCCCTGCACCCCAGAAAGCCCTTATCAAGAATGCTTTTATAAAAACCCAGCATTCTGAGGCAAAGCTCTTATCAAAAATGTCCTTCTCATCTAACTCAGATGGGTCGCGGTGTCCGGTGCGGGGCCGAAGCGCAGGGCCTCCCCAGGCTCAAGGCTTTCGGAGATTTAGGGGTTAGGGTTCGGGGATATAGGGTTTAGGGTTTAGGGATTTAGGGTTTAGGGTTTATGGATTTGGGGTTTAGGGTTCAGGGATATAGGGTTTAGGGTTCAGGGATTTAGGGTTTAGGGTTCAGAGATATAGGGTTTAGGGCCTAGGGTTTAGGGATTCAGGGTTTAGGGTTCAGGGATTTGGGGTTTAGGGTTCAGGGATTTGGGGTTTAGGGTTCAGGGATTTAGGGCCTCGGGTTCAGGGTTTAGGGAGTGTGCGAGGATTTAAAGTTTTGGGGGGCTCGTTTCTTCTCGACACTTGAATGTTTGTTTGATGTAAGTTTGGTGCTCAGGGCTGCGAACGCCAAAGTCTGAGCCCAAAGCTCGTGCCCTCTGCTGCTTGGCCTAGAAGCCCAGAAACCCCGGACCTCGAAGCTCACCAAACCAGAAAACCCGAAACCCTCAGACCCCCAAACCCCCAAACACCTAGAACCCCGAAACCCCGAACGCCCCAAACCCGCAAGCCCCCCAAAATAATCTATGCACCCCAAACATCAATGTCCAAACAAAGCAAATGTCAAAGGTCCCTCGATGGTCATGTTGTCCGAGTCTCCCGGCTCAGAGGGCTCGGGGCTTTGATGGCTAAGCGCTTCAAGGTCCTAGGGGTTTCCATGTGATCCAAGGGCTTGACGAGCTGTCGCAGTCAACTGGAAGGCTGCTCCTGCTACTACCACTACGACCTATTATTACTACTACTACTACTACTACTACTACTACTACTACTACTACTACTACTACTGCTGCTTCTCCTACTACTACTACTACTACTACTACTGCCTACTACTGCCTACTACTGCCTACTACTGCCTACTACTGCTACTGCTACTACTACTGCTACTGCTACTACTACTGCTACTACTACTACTGCTACTACTACTACTACTACTACTACTGCCTACTACTGCCTACTACTGCTACTACTACTACTACTACTACTACTACTTCTACTACTACTACTACTACAACTACTACTACTAGTACTACTCCTACTCCTACTCCTACTACTACTACTACTCCTACTCCTACTACTACTACTACTACTACTACTGCTACTGCTACTGCTACTGCTACTGCTACTGCTGCTACTGCTACTGCTACTGCTACTGCTACTGCTGCTACTGCTACTGCTACTGCTACTGCTACTGCTACTGCTACTGCTACTGCTACTGCTACTGCTACTGCTACTACTACTGCTACCTACTACTGCTACTACTACTGCTACTACTACTACTACTACTACTACTACTACTACTACTACTACTACTACTACTACTACTACTACTACTACTACTTATCTCCCAGCTCATTTCTCGGCAGCGTCAGCAATAACAGTGACAAGTCTGAGACAAACAAGTCCGAAACAACTGGCACTGGAGACGGTAGCAATATGAAGACGACTATGACAGACCCGAATGCAGCCATAATCCTAGACTCTCAACCCACATTGTCTGAAGCTAGCTGCTTTGCCTGAACCCTATAACCCTACCCAAAACCTACAACCCCAAACAAAGGCTCCTTTTTTTTTATCCTGGCTCTGTAGGCAGGTCCCAATTCGATGCAAAGGAAATCCGCGCTTCGGCGCAGGTAGTAGGGGACACGCTGTGGGAGAGCCTTGGGTCATCGGTGTGCTTTGTGCGTGGGGTTTAGGTTTAGGGTGATGCTCATGGCTCTGTCTTGTTTTAAGTTTGGTTATACGAATGTTTTGTTTTTGGGAGCGGGTGGTGACTAGGATTGGGCTTAGGGCGTCTGAGGGGTGCACGGGTTCGTGGTCACGGGTGCGAAGCTCCGGGAGACCGGAGTTCGGGTTTAGGGTTTAGGGATTAGGGTTTAGGGTTTAGGGATTAGGGTTTAGGGTTTAGGGATCCAGACTTTGGAAAAGCATTGTCTCACGCTCGCATGTATCTTCTAGGGTTTTAACTGTTGAAAGTATTTGGGATCTTGGTTCAAGGATGTACTGCAGGCTTAGACTACATGGATACTGGCATAGCTAAGAGGTCCAGCGTCTAGCATGGATCCCACTACTAAGCTATCTGACTGTTGCCTGCCGAAGGTTGACACACTACCAATGGGCCTTCACGCACGGCCGCGGGGCTTTCAGACACCTGCTTTTGACGAAAATGCTATAGCAACTGTTGCGTGATGAGGAAAGGCCACTGCAGCACTGTTGTCACTGGCCGCAACTCCATGTGGTGGGAGCTTTGTTCCGGAACCGCGACGCCGAAACAGGACCGGACTAGCTCAAGCCGAACCACTCAAAACGAGAAATCATATCCCGACTCCCGAAAACCTCAAACCTCAGGATTCGTGCGTGTGCCAGGGTCGACGGAAGGCATTATAGCTCCCTTGTAGGAACCCTTATAGATCCCTATTATGATAACTTAAACTATATGATTACTAATCCCCGTAAACCCTCTACTCTGACCGCAACCTCCGATGCGCCCCTTCACCAAGTAGCCATCCAGGGAAAATCACCAGTGTACCGGGGCCCGGTCGGAGCTCCTGCTGCTTTTCTTTGTGGGATTTCGCCAGAACTTTCTAAGCAACTCATATAGGAGGCCGTTAAAGTTGGAATAAGGTTTTGGGGCATATTGCGGTTTTTTTATGCTTTAGGTAGGTAGGTAGGGTTCGACCTGCAGCAGTAGCCGCGGCCTCCACCACTCTTCCCCGCCCAGCATCTCGGGGGGCCTCCGCAAGCGTCATCGGCCCCCTCCGCGGGAGGTTCCAGAGGGGGCTTGAACTAGAGTCTGGACTATAAGTGGAAACGAAGGCCGAGACCGGCACGGACTGGTCCCGAAAGAAATGGGGAGCCTGAAACCCGCCGGAAGTGGCCCAAGTCTGGGTTATCAGCCCGGAAAGGGGGGTTTGGGCCAGAAGAGGGGGGGGGGCGACGCAAAGTGGGTAACTGGAGAAGGGGAAGGACGATGCACTCGCGGACGCGTAGAGGCGGGGGGCCCAGCTGAGCCGGACTCGAAACCGAGGCCTGGCATGTAATGGTAAGAATCGGGGTAGCGGCTACGGCTTGACGAGAAACGTACATTCTCGGAGCGAGACTATACGGCCTTGTGAGAAGCGGTGTCTGGAACGACGTGAGGAGCGATGCGTACTGCGACAGAAAGAAGCGGAGCTACTGCCGTGCGCGGGTCGTTTACCCAGGTCCCCGATCTGGGAGCTAGAAGCGGGTCTGGAACGACTTGGGGAGCGCTGTGTGGTGGACGCGATGGAAGAAGCGGAGCTACGGCCGGGATTTAACAAACCGGGAGAGAAGGGGGGACTGGGACGACATGAGGGGCGCTGCTTGGTGGACGAAATGGAAAGAGGCGGAACTACGGCCTTACACGGGTCGTTTACCAAGACCCGTCACCTCGGGGTGGGAAGGGGGGTCTGGAACGACAGGTGGCCGAAATGGAATGAAGTGGAGCTACGGCCTGACGCAGGTCGTTTACCAAGACTAAGTGACTAAGACCCGCCACCTCGGGGTGGGAAGGGGGGTCTGGGACGACATGAGGGGCGCTGCTTGGTGGACGAAATGGATTGAGGCGGAACTACGGCCTTACACGGGTCGTTTACCAAGACCCGCCACCTCGGGGTGGGAAGGGGGGTCTGGAACGACAGGTGGCCGAAATGGAATGAAGTGGAGCTACGGCCTGACGCAGGTCGTTTACCAAGACTAAGACCCGCCACCTCGGGGGGGTCTGGGACGACATGAGGAGCTGCGTGGTGGACTAAATGGGAAGAAGCGGAACTACAGCCTTATGCGGGTCGTTTACCAAGACCCGCCACCTCGGGGTGGGAAGGGGGGTATGGAGCGACATGAGGACCTGCGTGGTGGCCGAAATTGAAAGAAGCGGAACTACGGCCATACGCGGGTCGTTTACCAAGACCCGCCACCTCGGGGTGGGAAGGGGCGTCTGGAACGACATGATGAGCTGCGTGGTGGACGAAATGGAAAGAAGCGGAGCTACGGCCTGACGAGGGTCGTTTTCCAAGACCTGCCACTTCGGGGTGGGAAGGAGGGTCTGGAACGACATGAGGACCTGCGTGGTGGACGAAATTGAAAGAAGCGGAACTACGGCCATACGCAGGTCGTTTACCAAGACCCGCCACCTCGTGGGTGGGAAGGGGGGTCTGGAACGACATGAGGAGCTGCGTGGTGGAGGAAATGAAAAAAGAAGCGGGGCTACGGCCTTACGCGGGTCGTTTACCAAGACCCGCCACGAACGACACGAGGAGCTGCGTGGTGGACAATTTGTGGCAACAAGCCGAACTACGGCCTTACGCGGGTCGTTTACCAAGACCCGCCACCTCGGGGTGGGAAGGGGGCTCTGGAACGACATGAGGAGCTGCGTGGTGGACGAAAGGGAAAGAAGCGGAGCTACGGCCTAACGCGGGTCGTTTACCAAGACCCGCCACCTCGGGGTGGGAAGGGAGGTCTGGAACGACATGAGGAGCTGCGTGGTGGAGGAAACGGAAAGAAGCGGAGCTACGGCCTTATACGCGGGCCGTTTACCAAGACCCGCCACCTCGGGGTGAGAAGAGGGGTCTGGAACGACATGAAGAGCTGCGTGGTGGAGGAAACGGAAAGAAGCGGAGCTACTGCCATACGCGGGTCGTTTACCAAGACCCGCCACCTCGTGGGGTGGGAAGGTGGGTCTGGAACGACAAGAGGAGCTGCGTGTTGGACGAGATGGAAAGAAGCGGAGCAACGGCCTGACGAGGGTCGTTTACCAAGACCCGCCACCTCGGGGTGGGAAGGGGGGCCTGGAACGACGTAGGAGCTGCGTGGTGGACGAAATTGAAAGAAGCGGAACTACGGCCATACGCGGGTCGTTTACCAAGACCCGCCACCTCGGGGTGGGAAGGGGCGTCTGGAACGACATGAGGAGCTGCGTGGTGGACGAAATGGAATGAAGCGGAACGACGTCCATACGCAGGTCGTTTACCCAGATCCCCGATGTCGAAGCGAGCAGGGTCTGGAACGACAGGGGGAGTCCTTCACTATCCGCTCTCAAAGAGCGCTAACACACGTCGAGGAAGAGGAGACAACGCTAGGAAACCTACAGAAGTCGGTTACCCAGAACCTTGTGTGTGACTGGAGGGGGTGACTTGGTAGGCACGCATCGAGGAGGTGCCGAACCTAAGGGGCCTGTTACTAAAGAATCGGATGCCCAGACTCCCAGGAACGGCGAGAGGGGCCGACTGGGGTGACACAGGATTCTACTCGAGGGAGTGGATGCGAAGGTGAGATAACGCAAACACTCGTCGAGGAAGTGGAGGCGAACCTAAGTAACCTGCAGAGGTCGGTTGACCAGACCCCCGTGAGTCGGCGCGAGGGGGAGTGGGCTGCGCATGAGCATGTCAGGGAGCAGCGGTGATGAGGTCTTATACGGCCAAGGTGAGCGGTGAAGTTGTCCAGTGTAGGGTCCATGCTTGTGAGCAATGAGCCACACGTCCAACCCGTGGAGCGCGGAGAAGTGCCTGCGAAGCTCAGGTCGCAGCTGAAGTTGCGCAGTGAGGGAGGAAGGCCATCCGGTAGGCAATCGAGGCGGTCAACGAAGGCCCTTGCGACCAGCAGGTGATCATGTCCGCCAGCTCGGTGGTGATGCGAGGGAAGAGAGGCATACCGGATTGCGACAAAGGAGCGAAAGGCAGAATGAATACACGCAAGTAGGTAGACACTACATGTGAGCGCATGGCGGAAACTAGGGAGGCGGCTGAACGGATGGATGAGCGCGGACTGGCAAGAAGATGGGCGAGGAGGCCTGGAATTTAAGGAGCCAATGGAGGGGCACTGTCACCCCGCCGCAGCTGACGATACAAGGTGTGGGTGCTCATCGGGCCTGGAAGGCAGCCCTTAGTGCCGCCCCGGGGGTCCACACACCTTAAGAGGAGGGGAATCGTCAGAAGGCTGCGTGCTTTACTTCTTTGGGTCTGGGCTACTGGAAACCCAAACATGCCGGGATGCTGTAAGCCGGGAGTTTCGACTTGCAGCCTCGAGCCCCGCCTGACCACCTGCAGGTCCCGGGTAAAACCCAAAGCCCTTTTAATAAACCCGGAAGCACTTGCACGCTTCCGGGCTCAACGCAATGGCAAACCCCAAAACCTAAACCCCAAACCCTAGGCCCGAGATCCTGAACCCTGCAATCCCTAAACCCCTAAACTCTAAAACCTTGACCTTATTAACACTAAACCCCATAGCTACCCTGAACCCTAAAGGACCTAAACATCAAAACCGAGACCCAGAACCCCCGAACTTCGGGCTCCGCGTACTGCACCGGAGACCGGGAGATCGGCTGCCCATCGGAGCTCCACATCCAGGGCACATGCCGCTCCTGGCGCTTTCAAAAACTGCTGAGGAAAGGTAGCAATAAGAAGATTACTAAGAATAAGGACAATAATAATCATGATAATTTCAAAAATACACATAATTTATATCATATAATCATAGTGATAAGAATAATAGGTATTGAGACTGATATAACGGTACTGATGCTACTAGTAACAGTCGTAGCTTGATCACCAATCTTGTAGCGTTGCTAGTTCATCACTTCCGATGCTTGCACTCAGGTAATCGGCACTATCAAAAAAAAAACGTCTAGCCCTGCACGTTTTGCTTGGCCAGGAAACATTCAACCACTAACACCTCAAAGCCGTAAAACCCTAACACGCTTACAGAGCAAAGCCTTACAGAAGCCTTACACATCCCTCAAGCCTTACTTGAGTTCTTAACTTTAACGAAAAATCGTTAGAGCCCCCAAAGGAGCTTTATAAAGCCTCATTCGAGCTGAAGTTCTTAGCGTTATCTGAAGAAGGCAGAAATACCCAGCCCCTGGACCCAAAGCCCCAAACCCGAAAACCCTAAAACCCTAAAACCCCAAAATCCAAAAATCCCAAAACCGTACCCTAGAAATCCTAAAACGGTAAACCCTAAACCCTAAACCCTCGGCCCAGCAGCCTCATCGGGCTCCATCATGCCGGGCCCGTAGCCCGGAGAGAGTCGGAGCAGGAGGGAGCCCCCGGAGTCTGGTTGAACCTGGGCTTCAGGGCTTAGGGATCTCTAGGGGTTCCTTTAAAGGGATCCTTAAAGGGATCTAATAGGGTTCCTTTAAAGGGATCCACAAGGGATCTGTAGGGTCTAGGGGTTTAGGGTTCAGGGGCTTAGGGTTGTAGCGGTTTAGGGGTTGAGGGGTTTAGGGGATTAGGGTTTAGGGGTTGAGGGCTTAGGTGGTTATGGGGTTTATGGGTTTGGGGGTTTGGGGTTTAGGGTTTAGGGATTAAGGAATACGGTTGAGGGTTTAGCGCGTTTAGAAAAAGATATAGGGTTTGGGGTTCAGTGAGGTCACAGTTTTCTTTAAGCGACCGTGGTGAAGTTATATAGTCCATACGCTGCTGGAGTGAATTACCACACTTGGGATATATGCGGTAGATCAGATTAGTGCACATAGTTTTGAGGCCCAGAAGCCCTTGCATAGTAGACCGTGGCCACCGAAGCGTCAGCGTGGTTGTGCAAGTAGTTCAGATGCCCCCTCCGGGAGACGTTCACCCAGCCGTCTGGATCGCTGTCAAGCTGCAGCACTTCCTCCTGCCCGCTTGGGAGGTGGGGTGCCACCTCGCCTTGGGCCTGAAACTCCTGGGCATCGGCCGCCGCAGCAGAAGCAACACATTCTGCAATCAAGTGCTTCAGGTGCAGAAGAAGGGCATCCTCTTTGTCAGCCCTTGCGTGGCCTTGGGCGAATCGAAACAGATCTTGCTTCGAATGAAAACCTCCGACATTCGATACTTGAATGCCGTCTTCACTCAGAGCTGGCCCTGCTTCCCGCTTCAAGGCGTATCCTGCCAGGGCATCGTTGAAGTGCTCCTGGGTTCTTGCTGATGGATTTAGTTCAAGTTGCCCCAAAAAAAACACTATATACTATAGATCCCTATTCTAGTAACTTACCATAACAAAGAAGCCATACTATGTACTTTAGATTCCTATTCTGGCAACTTACTTTGAATCCCTTAACAAGAACCCGGGCTCTGCTCCCTCGCAGCTCAGTCGGAAGCGATGGATCCGGAAGCTCCCAGATCGCTCAAAGGACAGGGGCCGGCAAAATGTCTGCGACACCTCGTGCTGCAGCTGCAACCCAGTCCTAGGTTCTTGTTAAGGGACGTAAACTAAGTTACCAGAATTGGGATATGTAGTATATAGTATGGCATGTTTACTATGGCAAGATACAAGAATTGGGATCTATAGTATATAAGATGGCTTCTGTATTGTGGTAACTTAAACTAAAACCCTTAAAAAGAACCCGGAGTCTCAATCGCAGTTCCCACCTGCCCCCAGCTTCTCCATTCCAGGGCCAACTCTTCATAGCTCTGGCCAGGAGGACAAGACCCCTGTCGAGCGAAGACATCCACGGGCGCCTCCAGTAGCCTCAGTCTCAGTCAGGGGATGAAAAGAACTATAAGGGCTCCTTTAAGGGATCTATAGCGTTTAGGGCCTAGGGTTTAGGGAGTTTAGGGTCTAGGGTTGTTTATACAAAACGGCTTGAATAAGATCTTGCAGCTCGGCAAGTTCTCCTTCATCCCTAAACGCGAAACCCTATGTCCGGTCCGGTACAGCTCCAGAGACCCTCCAAAGAAATCGATGCAACAGCGGTTTGGAGTTTGTTATCGGCCTCCGAGCCCGAAACCCTATTCTCAAACCCTGAACCCTACAGGGACCAAACCGGATGGAAATGAGACAAAACCTGGAGATCTCGAGCGAAGGAGTTGCCATAACTTAGAAGCTGCCCCCACCCTGTAATAGTGACTATAAGGATTATATATGATTATATTAGGGCCCTATTATATTCCTATTATACCACTATTTCAGGGTGGGGGCAGCTTCTAAGCCATAACTTTCTTTTGCGACGGACAAAGCCTAAAACGAAACAAACTGAAAATACAACAGCACAAAACGCGGCACAGTTACAGCAGAAAGCCTCTAAAACCGAGGCCCCAAGGCTCTAAACCCCCAACGAAAATCCCAAAACCGGAAAAGAACCCTTCTAGACCTGTTAAGTAACCTGATGATTTGTATGCATCCGCATGGTACACTTGACGAACCCTCATAAAAACCCCTAAACCCCTAAACCCCAAAACCAAGCCCAGCCGCGCCCAGAGAGTTGGTACTCGCAACTTCTCGTCGGGATCCGCGCTCTCTGCGGCCGCCACAGCTTCGTGGAAGTACCCCGCGCGATCCGAGTGGGGAAACGACATCGGGTTTAAGGTTCAGGGTTTAGGGTTAAGAGAGCTGTTGGGGTTTAAGAGTGCTTTGCCTGAGAGTTTGGGGGTTCAGGGCTTTCGGGCGTTTAGTGTATTGTAGTATCTTCTGGTATGTTGTACCATATCATAGTACAATAGAGTACATTGTGCTATGCTAGATTGTCCGGGAGAGCTCTCCCAGTTTGGCCTCACTCGGGGTGTGAGTGCGGGCGTCAATTCATAAACTATGACTCCGTACCTTCATGGGAAGCCCTCGTTTGGAACATTCCGTTCGCTCTTCTATTTGCTTTTTGCTTCTGAGCTTGGATTGGGACTTCGAGGCTCTGCGGTTCGTCAAGCGCACAAGTGTGGGGATTCAGGGTTTAGGGCTTAGGAGAGTAGGTTCCCGCCAAGGGTTCCTTTCAAGGGTCCTGTTAGAGTTCTGTATCCAAAAACTCTTGAGCGCGGTCGCAGATAGTTTGGGCTTTCGAGCTTTCAAAGGAAAATCCAGAGCGCAACAGCATCCATGTTGTAACCATGAAGCAAGCAACAACCAACAGGATCCTAAAACCCATCAAACACCACACACTGAATCCTGAAACATCCTGAAACCTAACCCCTAAACCCTAAACCCCAGGCGTTAGTGCTCGAGCAGGTAGGGCAGTTTCCCTCGTGGTCCCCTACCTCTCTGCTAACCCTAGTGTGGCGATAGACGCCCACGCGACGACAGGGTGTGTGACTGCAAGTGCGACCACCCTTTACATTCCCGGGTTTTCACTGTACGCGTGGCGAGGTGAATTCCCTTACCACCCCTGGAACTCCGTTTCAGCTGGGTTTCTTACATTTTTCAGTGCTTGTGTTCGTTTGCAACTGATCTGGTTCCGCCCTGGTTGCATCGACGTGGTGTATGCGTGTGCTGGGAGCTCTGTGGGTTTTGTTGGCCCTTTTTGAGGACGGCTGCAATTTCGACCAACACCGAGCCTTCCTGGCACAGAAGAGAGCGCAGACAACGCACCAGATCAAGGACCCTACTGAGACATTACGTCTCGGACCCGTCCGGCACTTGGAATTCGAGGCTGGCAACTGCAGCGGAAATCCTGGAAAGCCACCACTCCGACAGCAACCTGCCGCGTCAGGCTTGGGAAAAGCGGGCGCAGGAGCAACAAGAATCCAATACCACCATGGCCGAGCCGTGGAGGTGCTCGAAGTGCAAGGTCTTCTGCAAGGCGAATGCAGAATTCTGCAGCCGCTGTGGAGGGCGATGGAACAACTGCATGGAGAGAGGGATGGAGGCAGAGGCAATGGTGCTTGGACATACTCGGCCCCATCTTGGGAAGCCGCAACACCTCGCCGCCAGAAAACCCAGTCGCCCAGGAGGCGAGGTGGGCAAAGGGGGCAAGGCTGCCGACAAAGGCAAAGGAACAGGGAAGGCACAGAAGCCGCCAGCCCGGACGGATGTGCACTTCCCGAGCTTGGCGGAGCTACCTCAGCCGCCCGTTCCTCGCATACCACCCAAGCCACCGACTACGAGTTCGCAGCCGGCGATGACCGAAGACCGTCGCTTGCTGTCAGAGATATTAGCTGCCATACCCAAGGAGAGTTTGCCAGCGGATCTCTTGCAGCGTGCGGGCCAGTTCACGAAGGACACGGCCCACAGCCAAGGACGCCACCTACACAAGCTGGTTTCCGGAGAAGGCAAGCTCGCAAAGATCTGGAACAGCTTCGGCGCGACAATGCTTCTTTCACGGCCTCACGGGAGCACTACGTCGGGCAACTACTCGAACTCTGGAAGAAGCAGGGTGCTTCGCGTCTGGAGTCGATGGCGGCCTTCGAGGAGAAGGAGGCCGAGTTGTCAAGCAGATTGGCTCTGCTGGCCCAACTTCTGGCGATTGCTACTCAGGAGGAGAAAGACAGCGAGAGGTCGGGCAAAGAACTGAACGACGAGAATGCCATGGAGGAGATCGAGGAGGCGGAAGCAGCAGTGGAGACGGCTGCCAGTACAGAGAGCGAGGTCCGCGCCAGATACCGGAAAGCTCGCGAAAAGTTCAAAGCGCAGCATGCGCAGATCGAAGGTCTGCTTCTCGAGGCACAGGAAGATGCAGCGGCTGCAACCCGAGAAGGGAGCCGCACGCCACGCAGGCGAACCAAGGAGGAGCCCACCGAAGCGCCGGTGGATCTGACCGCCGAATCGCCCCCTGGCGAGGCCCGACCCATGGCCTGATGGCATGGTTAGGGCCGTCGGTGCTTCCCGTGCTATCTATCACGAAGGAAGCCGACTATGTTACACCTTGGTGGGCTGCTGTGTTGGGGATAAACCAGGAGCTTGAAGTGAGCCTCGCCGGAACATGTTTGGAACACTACATGGTTTTTGCAGAGGACCCAAGAAACGCACACCAGGACATTGGGGAATGGACTGGTGCTGATCTCCTGATGTCGCACCGGGCGATTGCCTTGCCGGGAATTCAGACCTGTGACTCGAGTTTCCAGGGTCCTGCAGAGCGCATGGGAAAGCCTGCAGTTGATCTTGATGTGCTGGAGTCCAGGGGCTCTCAGGCTGGCAGGGGCAACGTCCGGCGGGACAACAGGATGAGCTTCGATGATGTACCATATGTACAGTATGATTTTCCTGAGTTGCGTAGCTGTTTTCAGCGGAGACCGCACCCAATCCCTCTCCGAGCGAACCTCAATCAGGCCAATCGAAACCTCTTCAACAGATGGGCCAGACTGTTCAGGGCCCTCCGGCTCCCGCCTGCGATCCAGTGCACCACACCGCTCAAGGCCCGCCTCGGCCTCTACAGTCCGGCACTCCCGCAGAGACTGTTCAGCTCAGCCTTGCAGATCACATACCCCCGTCCCCACCGGCCATCACCTGGGGAGTCAACCAGGATATTTTACTGCACTGCTTTGAGGAACATGGTCTCCTGCATTTTACACGACCGCCCGAGGCTTACTGTGAAACTTGAGAGTGTTAACAGGAGCATGCGCGATGGTGTCTTCCCTTTCGAGCTTTGTTACGACAAGTCAGACCTTCCCGAAAGTTGCTGATGCAGAGTGAACATCCTGAAGGCATTTGGTCCGAACGTGTGCCAGAAAAGGCGGGAGCGCTTGCCGTGCTAGTGCGTAGTCCCGACCCTGGCCGTAGCTAGTTTCATACTGGTAGCGGAGCTTCGGCTCCTGTAGATCCTGCCTCCGCTTTTGCTATGTCGTCTGACGGTGTTCAAACCCAACCTGATGATGTTCGTCAAGTAGATCATAGACCCCCTCCTGGCTTCGATTCAGCAGACCGAAGATCAGGAGCTCCAGAGAGTCCTCCCGAACCCGTCTTCCGCAGCAGGAACGACCATGCGGCAGGGCCTCAGGTTGCATCCGAGGCCGCTAGTGTGAATCAAGAGCGTGGCGACCGACTCGCCAATGATCGCGGTGATCATCGTGAAGATCGTGCTGACGCCACTCGGGGCGAGTGGCGTGACTCTGTTTGGAGTCATTGGGATGGCGGAAGCTCGTTCATGGGGAAATGGACGGGATAGTGGCGACCGCCAAGGGGACGATCGTTCTGGTTGGCATCGGAGAGCTAGCTGGGATACGTCGGCGAGCACTGCCCCTGGCACTGGCACCGATCAAGGATGGCAGCCAAAGGACCCAGACCCATGGTCCAATGGCGACGACCCGTGGACCAAGGCAAAGCATGACGACCAATTTGCCCCACGAGCTGGACGCGGCGATCGAGGAGTTTTCCAAGCAGCTCCCTGGGCGGATGGTAGAGCTCCTCGAGACCGAGGTGACGATTACGAAGGAGGCCGCGGCGGAAACTGGGGCAATGGAGCGTGGAGTGATAGTGATGGAATCGCATGGAGTGGCTGGTCGCACTTCGATGGCGGTGGCTTCAGCTCCCAAGGCGGCCGATACGGCAGCCAGTCAGGAGGCGGCGGGCGCGCTTCAGAGAAGCTTACTGTACCCTCTTTCTCTGGAGAGGATGCCGACGACCTTGGAGGTTCTGCAAGGTCGTATCTTCGACAAATTGAAGCGTGGCGCCGTATGACATACTTGCCGGAGTCCCAACAAGGACTCGTCCTGTACCAGAACCTGACTGGGAAGGCGTGGATCTCGGCGGAAGAGCTTTCGCTTCCAAGGTTGGGATCCAACGATGGCGTAAGCTACCTGGTCTCGTGGATCAATGCCCGGTTCTTGGATCTGGAAGTGGCAAGGATTGGTCGGGCTTTCAGCGACTTCTTCAGACGTCTGCGCCGCCGACAAGGGCAGACAATCCGCGAGTATAACACGGAGTATGACAGGCTGCACGCGCGCTTGCGCGAGGTGGGATGTTCTATCCCCGAGGAGTGCGCGGCATGGCTCTACTTGGACAGGCTACAGCTCGAGGAGGGCCAAGAGTTGAACCTCCTGGCGAGCGTCGGCAACTCCTACAGTCTTCATCGACTTCAGCAGGCCGCGGTGCTCCACGACCGCGGTCAGAGGAAGCCTTGGGAGACTACCAAGGGCCGGCGCGCGCACACGGCGCACGTCACCGACACCGCGGACGGCACCGTCTCAGAGGGCGACGGCTCAGAGCTCGAGGATGGTGTCCCTGAAGACGTGGCGGTGGCGTATGCGACCTACCAGACTGCCAAGGAGAAGTACAAGGAGCAGAACAAGGCCAGAGGATACTACGGCGACCGCGGTGCAGGGGACAAAGGGAAGGCGAAGGGCAATGACGCATCTCGCGACGAGAAGATCCGCCTCATGAAGAGCAAGTCCTACTGCAACAGCTGTGGCAAAAAGGGCCATTGGCACAAGGACCCAGAATGCCCTAACAACGGTCCTGGCCAGAGTGTGCGAGACGTGGAAGTTTGCCACCATGTTCCTCTGGAGGTGTACGCGGTACGCCATGACGGCAGAGGGCTAGTTGGAATCACAGACACGGCATGCGCCAAGTCGGTCGCAGGCACTGCTTGGCTCCAGAACTATAGCAACGAGATCTCCCGCGTCTACCAGAAGCCCGAGCTCGTGAGGGAACATGAAGCCTTCAGGTTCGGAACCGGGAAGGTGCACCACTCATCGTTCCACGTCGTGCTTTACTTCGAGATGGGCGGCCAGGTGATTGAATTGAAGGCGTCAATCATCAATGGAGACGTGCCGCTGCTTCTCTCAAAGGACTCGTTGGCCCAGCTCGAGATGGTCTACGATGTTGCCGCTAACCGTGCGGATTTTCGAGCATTGGGCCTCAAAGGCTTCGGGCTCATCACTACCACCTCGGGACATCCCGCAATTCCTATCATTCCAGCAAGGCCCGGCGAAGGAGCTGGTCGTCTTGTGATTGCAGACCGACAGGCCCCGAGCGATGTGCAATACACGGCCTTTGCGGTATCAACAACAAGCCTCAAGTCCCAAGGCCCCCCGAAGAGTGGTTCAAGGTTCTCTACAAGTTCGCCGAACAGTCCTCCTACATCAAGCCCCAACCAAGCCGTCAACTACAAAATCTTCTACGACAAGAAGCTTAGTCCGGAAGCCAAGAACATCCTCACGCAAGATCGTCTTCATGAGCAGTCCTTTATCTCGTGGTGGGAAGGCAGCAAGGTGTCAACGGACTTTTGGTTGGAAGGTGAGCACGCATGGTATAGAGTACATGTTACCCCAAGGAGAGCCCTATGCAACCCATCTACTTGGAAAACCAGTTCCACCATCCAGAAGGACATGTTGCTCAGTTCGATTGCCGACACACGCATCACGGAGGGTTTCTGCTGTAGGACAGGCAAGCCGTTGGAAGTCACAGTTGATCGTTGGAGCGAGGGCCTTGAAGAACCGACCTTCCCGCTGTTATGGATCGGCAGAACTACCTTTGCCAAGGACGGCAATAGCGCCAAGCATCCCCCCGAGCTCTCTCCTTCAGGACATGGCCTCGCAATGCAAACCGCCCGCGATCAGCTCGATGACGAAGGCCCAGCTCCTCCAGGAGTGCGAGAGAGTCGGATTGGTGGTCCACCGTACCTGGACGGTGGAAGAGATCAAAGCAGTCATTCAGGAGTACCGTATGACGAATGCAGCCTCCCAGCCCGGACACCAGATGAAGTCGATCACTTCTCTGAATCTCCCGGAGCTCCGCATCAAGGCCGACGAGCTTGGGGTGGAGTACAACCACACCACCACGAAGGGCAACCTCCTTCGCCTCATCAGGGACTCTCTGTCCACTCCCGGGACCGAACTGATGAAAATCGGCAAGTACAAGGGGTTCGAGTTCCAGGAAGTGCCTCGTGGCTACGCGGAGTGGGCATCCAGAGAAGTGAAGGCGAGCTCCAATCCTCACCCGGAACTGGTGAGGTTCGCTCGCTGGTGGGACAACTCCCAAGAGAGGGCGTATGTGGAGGAGAGGACCATCGAGGCGAACTCCGTGATCCCCTTTCCCGACTCGGAGACGGACACCTCGGCGTGGGGCAACTGGAGCGAGTGGGGAAGGGAGTCGCCGAAGAAGCAGACCCCAGCGAAAGGGGCGTCGAAGGGCTACAGTCGGAACACCGACCTCATGCTTCCCCGCACCAACAAGCGCGGGAGCTCATCCCAGGCGGAGAGCGCGATGGACGCAGAGGGCGACCCGGAGACGATTGCCGAGATCGAGGCGTTGGAACAGAAGCTCGCGGCCCTGAAGGACAAGGCGAAAGTGACTGCCAAGGCGGTGCCAAAGGCACCGTGAGCGAAGAGGGCGGCACCCTTGGCGACCTCGCCGCCACGGGCACCCAGGACCACAGCGAGGACACGGCACTACGATCCGACGGGAAGGCAAACACCAATGGAGGCGCACCACCAGGTGATCTTCCTCGCCCCCATGTACGATTTGATGAACATGCGGAATTGCTTTCTCCGCGGCCTCCCCGTCGAGGGCTATGCGACTATGAGCGTGAGGGCAGCCATTTTGGAAGTAAGACCTTCGTGCACAAGGACGGGTGTTGTGGCAAGGAAGACGATGTCCTCTTCCACGAGGCCTTCATCAGTCAAGAGGAGTTCGCGAAGGCCCTTGCTAGCAAGCACACCAACTATGCTTGTGCCACCACAACCCAGGACAACCAAGATGAGTTCGCGCGGGCCTACCAGGACAACGACTTCACCTACGACAAGCTCCTCGACCTCCTCAACCAGGCTGGCCTACGAGAGGTCCGTACCGAGAGAGACGGCGTCATCGGCAAGACCGGCAAGGCTGCTACCTACCACACTCTCGGCCTCTACACGCATGGTGGAACTTTTGGAATAACTACCCGCACGAAGGAGCAAAGCGCCATGGCCCGGTACATCAACGAGTTTGGCAAGCGGCATCTCGGAAAGGGCGCTACGTGGACCTCGGTTACCATCGCCTTCAATACGGAGACGGATGTCCACCACGACTTCCACAACCTCAAGGGCACCTACAACCACGCCGTTTCCCTCGGCCAGGAAAGCGGCGGCGGTCTGTGGATAGAGAACAAGGAGATCAACGAGGGCAACCTGGAAGCATCTACAGTCAAGTGGCGCCAGGATAAAACCGGGCGGTGGATGCCGGGGAGAGTCGCCGACAACAAGGAGAAGTTCGTGACCTTCGACCCCTTCCTCAAGCACGCTACAGAGCCCTGGGTCGGCGGCAGATGGTGCTTGGTCTACCATTCTACAAGGAACTACACCAAGGTCAATGACGTTCTCCACGGCTACCTCAAGAAGTGCGGATTCCCTCTACCCAGGAGGAATGGCGCCGCTCCCGGCGATGCTACCAGGAGGAAACCCTGTGTTTCAACACGAAAGAAGATCTTCAACAATGCCGCTAAAGTTGGCGTGCTGATGGCGACTCTTCTGACGGCGGCCTCCAGCTACCTTGCCAACCACGTGTTCCCGGATTCCATTGTCGAGCCCATCGTCATCTTCGAGATCGGTGGCACAGCTGGCACCGAGGAGGCCGTGTCGCTTGGCAAAGACGTGTTCGAGCCCATGGACTGGGCCACCTACCAATCTCCGGAGGGCAAACAGACCGCCTACCACGTGATCAACGGCGGCACACCTCGAGAGCTACGGGTGAACCTCTTCGGGAAGAAGGATGCTTGCAATCGACCCGTTCTCGAGCTGATGCAACAGCAGATTAACGAAGGGGGAACGGTGGTCGTGAAGGGGAGCAGCCAGGACACTATCTACGACGAGGAGCTCTTCAAGTACCTGCGCGACAACTACACCCAGTATAATGGCAACGAGCACGGGGAGGAAACCTACATCCTGTACAGGGCATGTGAGCGAAGCGAAAAGATGCCCGGACCTACGAGGTGTCACCAAGTCTGTGTTGTGGATCGTTCTGGAGAAGGAGACGGGCTTGCACACGATGTTGCTTATGATGGTACAGGTATCACCTTCGGAGAGACCACCCCTCCGATGATAGCGTCCGCCCTTCGGAGGCTACACCAGAACCTCGGCCACCCGCAGAACTGCGACCTCATCAGGCATCTACGGCTTGCTGGGTGCGACGAGCCGGTCATCAAGGCCGCTCGCGGGCTTCGATGTCAGGTCTGTGAAGCCAATGCTGCCCCGCGGATAGCCAGACCTAGCGTGATCCCGCAGCTCTGTGATTGGAATGACACAGTCGGGATCGACCTCTTCTACGCTCACGACATCAACGACGTGAAGCACACCTTCCTCTCTGCGGTTGACTACGGGACCACGTACCACCTTGCCGTGAAGGTCGACGGTCAGTCTGCCGAGGACATCGAGGCGAAGTTCAACGAGATGTGGATCGTGCCGTTTGGGCCTCCTAAGAGTGTGGTTGTCGACCTCGACGGCGGAGTACAAGGAGCACTCGGCCGTCTTTGCGACTGGCACAATATCGCTATGAAGAGCATCGCTGCCCAAAGCCACTGGCAGGCCGGGATGATCGAGCGGCAGCAAGCCTGGTGGAAGAACATATGGGAAAGACTAGTCTACGAGCTCACCATCGGCGAGGACGAGGCGGAGATACCGGCCCCCATAATCAACAGCGCCAAGAACGATCTTCGGACAAGGTGTGGACACAGTCCTTCACAATGGGTGTTCGGCAGGGCACCGCGCATCCCTGAGGACCTGCAGGACCCCGACGGCGGCAACCACGTCACGTGGGATGTGAGCGAGGACTCGCGGTTCCAAAGGCAGGCGGCTAGGAGGGCAGCCTCGCGTGTCGCTTTCCATAGGAGCCAGATAGACAGTCGACTCCGCAAAGCGTTCTTGCAAAGGACGAGGACGGTGCCCAGGCCCCACGAAGTCGGAGAGAGCGTGCACTTCTGGCACAAGCCCAAAAACAGACGGAGAGGCCATTGGACCGGACCGGCCGTGATCGTCGGCAAGGAGGGCAACAACTACTGGATATCCAGCAATGGCAGGTGCAGGCTAACCTCTCCCGAACACATCCGAGGCTCCACACCAGAGGAGGTGGGCGCGTACCTATCTATGAAGGGGACTCAACGGGAGGTCGAAAAGCTACTGGAGTTCGACCCTGACGGAGGCGAGGCGTTCGAAGAGGACCCCGAGGATGTCGAGGTCGGCGAGGACGACGAGATCGGCGACATGGAGCTCGACCACGACGAGGATCTCGTCCTGGAGCCGGCCCTGGTCGACGAGGAACTACCTATGCCTACGCGACGGCTCAAGCGCAAGACCAACATGACCCAGCTCGACGAGACGGCGAACGAGGCCATGATCCTCAAGAGTGACCTCACCCGAAGGGGAGTCGAGAAGCGAAAGGAGAAGGAGCTCAAGTGGACGGAAATTCCAGAGGAGGTCCGGGAGAAGTTCCACGACGCGGAGCGCGTACAGTGGGAGGAGCACTTGTCCTACGACGCTCTGGAGCCCTTGACGACCGAGGCCAGCGATGAGGTACGAGCTCGGGTCGCCCCAGAGAGGATCTTGCGCTGCAGATGGGCGTACAAAGACAAGAACTGGGCGCGACGAAGAGAAGGAGACGCAGAGGCGCCATGGCGATGCAAATCCCGCCTTGTCATCGCCGGACACACCGATCCGGACTTGGGCAACGAGCATCTGTCTACCGATGCGCCCACCCTTTCCAGAAGCGGACTGGCCTGCCTTCTCCAGCTCACTGCCAATGGTCTTGCGCAAGAAGACCGCTGGGAGCTGTCTGCTGGAGATATCCGCTGTGCATTTCTGACAGGAAGCTATCTCTCTCGAGAACTCTTCATGCACCAGCCGAGGACGGGGTTCCCGGGTATGTCACCAGGGCAACTCGTGCGCATAAAGAAGAACGTGTTCGGCCTCGCCACCAGTCCTCACGAGTGGTGGGGAGATCTCCAAGCCGGCTTCCGCGAAGTGAAGATTCAAGGCAAAGACGGCAACGAGTACCGCTTTGATCAATGCCCTCTTGATCCTTGCATTTTTATGCTTCGCCGGTGGAACAGCGAGGAGTTCATCGGCAGCCCGATTGCCTACGTGGGTTGCCATGTCGACGACCTGTTGGTGGCTGGTCCCAGAAGTGTCAGAAAGAAGATCGAAGAAGCACTCTCCATTGTCTTTCCGATCGAGTCTTGGGAAGAGGAGGAGTTCGAGTTCCTTGGGTCACAGATCAAGGTGGGCCAGGAGGCAATCCAGGTGGTCCAGGAGAAGTACGCCACTACCCGCCTCTTCAAGCTCGAGATCCCTACCGACGCGAAGGACGAAGAGGTTGCGAGCGATGAGCTCGCATGTGACAACAGATCATTGATAGGTGCATTGTCGTGGATGGCGGGACAAAGCCGTCCGGACTTGACTTGTGCTGTGAGTATGGCACAGCAACTCCAGAAGCAGCCCACGGTCGGCGACCTCCGCTTCACGAACGCGACGGCCTCCAAAGCGCTACAGTTCAAGAGTCAAGGCCTGGTGTTCCGCCCTGTTGCTCTGGAGAGGCTGATGCTGGTGATCTACCACGACGCGGCCTGGGCGAACGTCCCCGAGGCCGATCCCTACGAGGACTACTATGTCTTGACCCCGGAGGACGATCTCGCGGGGCTCCAGACCGAGGGGCCCTACGTCAACAAGAGCGATGGGAGAAAGGCGAAGAAGGGGAGCTCTAAAGTCGCGTCGCAACTTGGAGTTCTCGTCACCTTCACCGACAGAGGGGCCCTCAACAACGAGCCCGGCAACTTCAGCATTGCCGACTGGAAGTCACGCGCCGGCCAGAGGGTCTGCAGGAGTACTTTCGGTGCAGAGACTCAAGCATGCGCGGAAGGATTGGAAACCGGACAATACATCCGGTCGATGCTGGAGACCCTTGTCAAAGGGCCATTGGTCACGGTTGAGCAGGCCACGACCCCGCTCCTTTGCCTCAGCGACTGCCGATCACTCTACGACCACCTCAACCGTCAAGGAGTACCTCGTGTACCGACGGACAAAAGGCTTGCAGTCGACCTGGCAGCACTGAGGCAAGCTCTACGAGCTGAAATGTGGTGCGAGGATCTGCCAATCGCCTGGATTCCAGGTGCTGTCCAGAAAGGTGATGTTTTGACTAAGCCCCAAAACCCCTCCGATTGGTGGGAAGCTCTTCAGGGCAAGTTGGTTTTGCCTCTCGCAATCGGCGGAAGAGGCGGCCTAATCAGCAACAGGAAGGTTAGAAGTAGAACCAGTGTGAAACTTGAGAGTGTTAACAGGAGCATGCGCGATGGTGTCTTCCCTTTCGAGCTTTGTTACGACAAGTCAGACCTTCCCGAAAGTTGCTGATGCAGAGTGAACATCCTGAAGGCATTTGGTCCGAACGTGTGCCAGAAAAGGCGGGAGCGCTTGCCGTGCTAGTGCGTAGTCCCGACCCTGGCCGTAGCTAGTTTCATACTTACCGAACCGTTGATGCCTCTCTTCTGCGCCTTTGGCACCGACTTCCTGCCTGGCGACCTGAGCTACTCTGTGATGAATTGTTCATCTTTACAGATGGTTCATATTTTGACGGGGCGCCACAAGCTACTTGGGCCGTTGTTATAGTTGCTCTTCAGGATGGCAAAATTGTGCGGGTCGGCACACGTGCTGGTGTGGCCCAAGGACCTGCCAATCATGGCCCAATGCATGCCAGGCTGCCGTCCGCCTTCGACGGCGAAATTGAGGCGATCCTACACGCCCTTGCTGTTGTTGCCAGTGTGCCCTGTCGGGCTGCGCACGTGGGCGCAGACTGCGAAGCGGCCCTGACTGTTGCACAGGGACTTGCAGCCACTGCCGAGTGGGACCTCACAGCGCGAGCAACTGTTAGCATACGCGCCCTCGTGGCAATGCAGAGTAAGGGACTTTTTCTTCATAAGGTGCTTGCTCATGCGGGTTGCGCGCTAAACGGCCTCGCCGATGGCCTGGCGAAAGCTGTTGGCAGGAATCTGTCCCTTGAGACAGCGGGCACATTCCAGACCCTGTGGACAGCTATTACGGAAGGAGTTGTTGACCATCTCTGGCTTGTGCCGCCACACCCCCACACTGCTTACAGCCTGCCCCCGCTCAATGAAGCGGGTACTTGGGAGCGTGGCTATTGTGATGTTGTGGCGTCGGACGCACTCCAGCGGCCATTTTGCATGCCTGAGCCTGAACTCGTAGCCAAGCCAGTGCAACTTGTGACCTCCGTGTCCTCCAATATAATGCGCTCTCTCTGAAGGCCCCTGGGGCACCGGAACTGCTTGCGAGGGGTCTCCGCAAACACGCAGTTGACATCGCTGGCATCCAGGAAACCCGCCAGCGACAAACTGGCATTGCCACGCTCAGTGATTATTGGATCTTGCATGCGCCCTGCACTGACCAGGGCATTGGAGGAGCTCAAATATGGGTGCGCCACAATCCCCGATGGGATCGCCAGGCTTTCACAATCGTTCACCAGGAGCCGCAGATCCTGGTTGTCCTCGGATCTTTTGACGGGGTGAGAATGCTTCTTGTGTCCGCCCATGCCCCACCGGCTACCACGGCAGCCGATGTGCTACAGGACTGGTGGGGACATCTCGCTACCACCCTCCATCGGACCCCTGCCAATTGCGTCCCGCTTTTCTTTCTGGATGCAAATGCAACGTTCAGCCGGCAGCCTCTTGTTCCGAGTACCCTTCTCTGCACGCCCCTTTGCAACAATGCGATGTGCCTGCAGCAATTTGCGGCTAACCGGGCGCTCGGTCTAAGCCCGCAGTTCCTGACCAACGGTGCTCCGCTCCACTCTTGGACTAGCCCCCAGGGTCATCGCAAACTCATTGACTACATCGGCATGCCTGCTGATTGGGAGCACACCTGCACTGTGCAGGACACTCCCCGGCTCGGGGACATGTATGAGGATATCGACCATCAGCCAGTCCTCCTCAGGTTGGAGGCCACGGTCGATGCGACGCCTGTGCAGCACCATACCTGAGAGCCAACAGGTTGCCACTACGGTCGCCCACCTCAGCCCACCTGTGCCATGGACAACACGAACAACAGCGCATGTCGATGTCCTGCAAAAACACCTCTACCACGGTGTGATGTCCTGTATCCCGGTGATACCACCTAAGCCACGAAATCCCGCCCTGACACCTGAGACTCTGGCCAAGGTTCGGTTGCAACGACACCTGCGCCGCTGTACGAGACATGCACAGCAGGCCTCACGCCGGGCATTTTTGCAAATGTGTCTCAGAGCATGGGCGCAACGGGGCAGGCCAGCATATGCAATCATTCGGTCCGAGGAGGGAACTAGGATCTGTGCTGCGGCCCGCTGGGCACGTCAGTACCGACAGAGCAAGGAACTCCGCCGCTCAATGTGGACCGACAAGGCGGAGTTTACACGCCGGGCAATCGCCCAGGCCAGAGCTGACGGACCAGCACAGTTCTCGCACCGTCTACGTGCGATTCTTCGCACGGCGACGATATCGAGCCCCTGCTCTCCTCCCATGCCTAAAGGATGAACCGGGCCGACCGATGGACAAAGACCAAATTTCTGATAGTTTCGGGAAGTATTTCGCAGCGGCCGAGCGCGCAGAGCCCGTGGCTATCGAAGGACTGGCCGGCCAAGGAGCCCGAGAACCGGTCGCCTGCCAGCCATTGCAAGGCAGCGACCTTCCCAGCCTGGCTGGGCTTCCTTCTGGCTTTGCAAGTCTGCGGACCGGGCGTGCAGCCGGTCTTTCTGGGATACCTTCGGAGGCTTATAGGGCCTGCCCCCTCCAACAAGCTCTTTTGTACTACCCAGTTGCCTGCAAGCTTTTCCTTCGCCCAATGGAAGGGAGGACTTGCCACCTGTGTCCCAAAGCCTGGCAAGCCTTGCACACAGCACAAAGGCTATAGAGCGATCATGCTTCTCGAAGGTGACAACAAAGCCTTGCAAAAGAGCATGCGCCCATCTCTGCTCAAAGCGATGCCCTACTTGGGCGTCCCGGACCAGATGGGCGGCCGGCCAGGGTTTGCATTGACACAGCCTTCTGCCTGCGTCAAAGCACACCTCCATCGGTTGCGACGGACACGCCAAAGCGGAGCGGTCATTTTCATCGATGCCGCAGCAGCATACTACTCAATTGCCAAGGACCTTCTGTCCCTCACGCCAGCTCAAAGGCGTGATCGCACTTTTCTCGAAAACCGTGCGACTCGCCTCTTCCAGTTTGAGGACCTCCGACAGCAATTTGTGCAACGTATGCTGGAAAGCAATGCTGAGTTAGATGAGGCCATGTCGCCTGCTCTACGTGCATACTTGCAACGCCAGCTTGACTAGACTTGGTACGTGCCCAGGCATAATTCCCCCATTGCCTATGTTGCCGGCAGTGGGACCGCCCCTGGGTCCCCACTTGCAGAACTCATGTTTTCTCTGGTGTTTGGGGATCTGCTTCGACAGACACAAGCCTTCCTCAGAGCGCAGGGCTGGCATTCCCGGCTTACCGCACAGGCAACCAGTTCACCCGGCTACACGCCCACATGGGCGGATGACGTGTGCATTTTGGTCGAAGTCGGGCCGGCTGAGCTCGTCCCGACGGCAACCGCCGATACCTTGGCCTTCTTCCTCGATCGCATGCACGGAGCGGGCCTACAGGCCAACATGGGCCTTGGTAAAACCGAAGCAATCCTTGCTCTGTACAGCCATGGTTCCCGCGAGGTTCGGCGACAGCTTTTCAGCCAGACGGACCCGCAGTTGCCCTACAGCTCGCAATATGAGCAGGGTCATGTGCGCATTACTGCGACGTATGACCATCTTGGATCAACCATCCAAGCGGACGGGCACTCTCTCCCCGCCATCCGGCGCCGCAGAGAGTTGGCGCGAGAACTCTATCGGCCCCTTAAGGCGCGAGTTTTGCGAAACCCGGCGCTTACTCGGGAAGAGAAGATTGATCTTCTCAGAAGCCGTGTGATCCCTCGAATGCTGTACGGCTCAGGGCTTTGGAGTATCATGACCCGCCAAGAAGAAGAGACCCTGGAAGGGGCCATCAATGGCTTCTACAGGGGATCCTTCCAGCCCATCTTCGGTATCAAGAGTCAGGGCTATACCAATCTTGAGCTCGCAAGTGCGCTCCGCCTGCCCACGCCTGCGGAGCTTCTGGCTGTCGAACGCCTGCGGGCGGCCACTCAGCTTGCGCGCAGTGGCATGCTCCCTGTGCTGGAGGAGCTATCCCATGATGACAAGTGGTGGCCAGCAGTTCAGCATGCTGCATCTGAGATTGGTCTGCTACCCCCGGGCGAATGGACCTTCCTACAGACTGTTGAGCACCTCCGCGCCCCGCACGCCACCACCAAGGCAGCATGTCGGAGATTCATCCGCCAGCGCGTCGAAGGCAGGCGAATGGCCTGGGATGACTTGAAGCAGCGGGAACCATGCGATACAGTGACCATCACTGCCGCATCTGGCCAGACCCTACCGTGGCGATGCGAGAAGTGCCCATCCGCGTTCGCTGACTACCGCCGGTTGGCGGTGCATACGGCCACCAAGCACGGCATCCGCGCGCTCCATGCTGTCTGTGCCGTAGGGTCAAGGTGCGAGGTCTGTACAGGTGAATATTGGACTCGGCAACGACTGGCGGAGCATCTCCGCCGGAGTCCTCGATGTTTAAGAGTCTACGCCGAGGCGGAGATTCAGGACGTGCCAGAAGTGCAACAGACCGGGGTTAGTGCGTGGCGCCCTTGCACTGTCTCGCACGGCCCAAGGCCGTGGTGGGCGACTCTCAACCCATGAGGTGTTGCCGCCATGTGCCAAAGTTTTTCGGCTTTTTCGGCCATCTTTCTTTGCGGCGCGCCAGTAAGTGCGCTTTTCCGCAACTTGGACATGCCTGGAATTGAGCTTGCGCTTTCAGCACGATTCTGCCCGCTGAAAAAAACCCTAAACCCCTAAACCCTAAACCCTAAACCCTAAACCCTAAACCCCGGCCCCGACACCAAAAAGAAGGAACCTGGTCCAGGAGGCCCAAGGCCTCTGGGAGCCATGGGTTCGGGCTTAGAGTTCGGGTTTAGGATTCAGGGTTTAAGGTTTAGGATTCAGGGTTTTAGAGTTTAAGGCAGAGAATAGGCTAGAGCTTAGAATGTAGGTTGTAGGGCTTTCGGCTTGAACGTTTAAGACAAAAGATTGGGAGGGATTAAGCCTCTTTACAACAGCAATGTGCTGCCGATGCAACTTTTACAAAGCATGCCTGCTACGATCATAGGGGCCCTTCTTAATAGGCTTTAGTGGGTCATCATTATTATGGGCACTAAGGCCCCCTACCTTCCTCCCCCTACCCCCTAAGGGTCTCTATGATACGAAGGGACACCATGACATAAGTTTCGAGGCTATCGAGTCCAGGCTTCCGACACGATGATAACGACAGGGATGTTGGTTGACAATGTTAGTATACTGTAGTATCTTTCACTTCTTAAAGCATATTATAGTAGACCATAGTATGTTATAGTACATTATACAAAATTACAGTATAGAACCCTATCTTATGGTATATTGTAGTATGTCTTAGTATAATATGGTATTAGGGTGCATTTTCGTATACTCTAGCCCGGAAGTGTTCGTGTTACCGTTCGAAAGTATAATATAATGACACTGCAGAACGTAAGAGACTCTTCGGTTGTGAACCGCCACAGCCTGACCCGACCCCCTGGACCCTGAAGCCCGCAGCAAGGATGTGGCTCAAGCTCGTGCTCCATCGCTGCTTCCCCCATTGGAAACAACTCCAAAACCATGTCCCACAGCTCGGAAACAGCCGTGACTCCCCAAAACATCCTTGAGACGACCCTCAACCCTAAACCCTATTCAGGCCCCGGCTTGCGTCCAGCGCGCAGTTCTCTGGCAGCCACCTCAGCAAATTCAGGAAAGATCCATCCTAGGCTCATAGAGTCGCCTCGTGATGAGGTTGGCGGATTATGGGAGTTTCCGAAAACAGGGGACCCTAAAAAATAACCCTAGATAGTAGGATCCTTATAAGGACCCCAAAATAAGGTACCCCTAATTTTCGGAAACTCCCATATGTAACTTCGCATAGAGACACTGAAGATGAGATTTGCCAAAATTCGAAGGTGGTCGTCCAGGCTTTCGGGTTCCTTTTTTGGGTTTAGAGCTTAGAGTTTAGGGTTTTAAGGCATCAAGCCACGAGGGCTTTGGGTTTACAGTTAAGAGTTTAGGGTTTAAGTTTTATTCCATAAGGGTTCTGTGAGGTAGGGCCTGGGGGTCTCGGTGCCACGTGCAACAATGCAAAAGAAACACTTTTCGCCCTCAGGCCGACACTGAGGGCGGCTGCCTGAGTGGTGCTGGCAGGCAGGCTTCGGCTTCAGTTTCCTAGTGTTTAGGGTTTTGCGTTTACTTAAAGGATCATGGGACTTAGTAAATAGGTTGTAATTGGGGTTATAAGTCCCCTAAGTGGCGTTATCCTAATTATCGCCTACTTATAACCTTACTTACTAAGTCCCATGAGCCTTCAAGTAGGGTTTAGGGGTTTGGGAGCCTCTGGGTTCTTCGGAGCTTAGTGTCTCCACACGGGGAGGGCCAGAGACGCGCGGACTTAGTTTTGCACATGAGCTGCGAAGCCTTTGCAGCCGCATGGCGAAACCCTGAGTCCAAGCCCCTAAACCATTCTAGCAGTGCACAATAGTAGCCCTTTGATTTCACTAGCTTGAAGTATCCCTTGTTGCATCCCTGAAGGTAGTCCCTCCTAGTCATCCGATAACATCCTAAACTCTGGACGCCATGTTCTCGGCACAGATGGCCCATCCCTCCTTGATAACAAGCCCACACCATGGATCCGACAGCCCTTTGTTTGAACCCTAAGCTCTGCTGAAGCCCATGGTTCTGATCTCTCACCCACAAGCACAGAAAACTAATGTGACACTCTGAAACCCACAATCCGCAACCCCTGAGGCAGCCGTAGGGCAGATAACCTTTCCTTTCAGAGGAAACGGAAACCTTCCACATGGGTTCAG